CTATATGGATACAGGCGCTCACCATAAAAGGCACCACCAGTTTGGCGCGCCTCTCATCCAAATCCATCGCACCGTTAGTCGCGTTGAATATTGTGTTATTCAGTAATGTTTGTAATGAAGTTTCCGTCGAATTGAGTGGCAGAGCGCTGGTAGTTATCGTGTGTTCACCGGTCAGGTAGGGTCTGTCGAGCTGTTCGCCAGCGAACTGTCCCAACCCGTGCATGAGCTGCGAGAATAGCAATACCCGGACGGCCTTCTCCTGCCATATCTCAATGAGCCACACGTTGTAGGCCGTGAGCCACGCGCCGGCAGTTATGCCCAGTATGACAGCACAGGTGTATAACTGCCACAAGTGTTGCGAGAATGGCATCAGTGTGTTGAACACATTCATCATAATCAACACAATTATGACTGTGATCTGTCGGTTCACATACCTGTGCAAAAGTCCTACTGTTATATGGGAAAGGGATTAAGAGTTTGTAATTGATTTGTGTTTTTAGATTTTGCTGTCAATATGAATGAAGTTGTTTGAGAATATTGTACACAATTTGTGGTGTTTTACGAGTTTGAGTGCAATTCCTACTCACATAGTGTTCCCGTAATAATACCCGCGGAATATAGGGTCGGGATGTAAGTGATATTCTCCAGAGATGTGTTTAGTATGTATTTGAAGTCTACAAACGCCGGTCCTATTAATGCATATTTCATATACTGTTGGGATTTAAATATAACTCAAATTAAAATGAATAATTATAATATAATTATCATAAATGTCATCATAAGTTTGATATGTTATCAATGATAAGAATATAGCATATGATCAAGTGCCTGTATACAAAATAATATTGCATTTGAATTATAATTATTTATTTGAATTACTTACAAACGCGAAATGATTTAACAAAAGGATGAGTGTATAAATCACTTGAATGTATCCCACGTCAAAGAATTGATTTTTCACATAATCACGGACTTCATACCATAAACTCATATTTTAAACTTCAAAAAAACCTTATTTCGTAGAAAATAGTGTCTACGAAAAAACCCTTTTATTTAAGTTTAATAATTTAACTGCCATTGAATTAGCTGTACGTTTGTATTATAAATTAACGGTGAAAGCAACTATTGTTTGTTTTATGAGAAATTAATTCACGAATAATTAATAATAAATAATTGTTAACATATTGTTGGTCTCTAATACAATGTTAACTAAATAAGAGTAGAGATTGAAATACATGTGCCACTTATGTGACAGATTATACTGTATTAAAAGTCTGTGTTTATCGACGCTATTATAAAGTGCATTTAAAAGTATTTTTTCACAGAAAATATATTTATCTGATTAAATGCTATCATATTTCGCTATTCGTAGTAATTTATAGTTTAATTTCTCTACACTTGTCTCGATATAGATGATTGAAAACAGTTCATTCAAAAAGTCCAAAAGTGATACTAAAGTTTTGTGTATTCACAAACCAACTGAATATTTATTATGAATAGTTTCCATAGGTATAGAAATTGTGTAATTAATCAAATTGTCTAATTAAACTGTTTGACCATGGTAAATAGTTATAAAAATACAAAAGTATTGAACAGTATTATGAATGAGTTAATAAAAGGTATAATAAATGATCATAATTCACTATATAAGGCACGCTTTTGCAATTAGTCATATAATATGTTACATGCTAGTATTGGGTCAAAAAAATATTTGCAAGTCGTACCCACGACTTAATAATACCGGGGTTAATAATTTGAAAAAATTGTAATTATTTATGAATTGATTTAAAATATTCATTCAATTGTTTACTAATCAAAAAACAAAGAGTGAGACACTCTCTGGTCGACCTCCACGTGGTGTCTTGGTTAATGCTAACTGACCAGTTGATAACATTTTGGTATATAAGTTGTGGGTTGGGAGTAGGGAATCCTAACATTGAAAACTCAGCACTATCATGTAACATTGAATTGCAAATGACTAATATAAGGGGATCCTAAACTACATTCAAATATAATAGTTGTATGAGTGGTGCCGTACACATCACTATTTGTATTTTACTGTACTTATCAAATAAAATGTTTAAAATCATTTAGTTGTATTTATTTAATCAAGCAAGATTAATATAAATAATTAAGCAAGCTCAATCATATACGATAACCGTGAGCCGGGTGTCGGGTCGACCGCCCCTGGAGCTTACAATATAAATATAATGAGTTATAAATTTAGCATGGCTCAAGTACTTTGTTTTTAATTTATATATCAAAATACACTAATTATGTTAATTGAATATTATATTTATATTTGAAATTTATTTTATTTTATTTTATTTTATGCACTCAATTGCGGCATTCAATGTAATTTACAAAAGTATAGACTTTTAGAAAAGTTTTTCTATTATTTTAATTAAATGCGGATTTTTAGTCATAAAACGTTGAGTAAAATAAATTTGGATTTATGTAAACACTTGAATTGTTAGTGTAATTACGGTATTTCAACAAACTCATTTCAGTGTATTTTATGCAAAAAACTTTTTAATTAAAGTTTGCAAAATATATGAAGTTTGTACAAATACTGGCAAATTAGGATATACTATTTGAATGGCAAAATAATTAATTACATAATATATGTCATCAAGAATATATATAATATAAATCAGTATTATGCAACATACAGTAGAGTTTATATTTTATACTAGGAAGTTTTAATATAAGGCAGTAAGTTAGTTATTACAAAATGATTTCTATTAAATAAAATGCAAAAATGTTATAAACAAAAATTAAATAATCACCCAGACAGTAAACGGGATTAATTAAAAGCATTTTTATATTCACGTCAATTCTGTTAATTATTCACGTTTTGCAATACAAAGTGAAAGTAATTTTAATTAGAGATTATTATTTGTATTTCTATGAAATGTATTAAATATGCTGTATATATATTTGTGCAATATACATTTATACAGTATTATACACTGTATATACTACTGCTATACACTGTACATATACTGTATAAACATAATCCCTATACTAAATCCACTTTAATTGGACATTTGCTAATTAATGCTGTTCAAATTAAATCAAAATAATGACTGCACAAATCATTATTGATTTTATTTATTTAATTACTGACCAGAAATTAAGCGAGCAAAAATGAGAAAAGTAATTTAAAATTAAATCCTACACAAAAAATATTTTTAAAGGTATGTATTAAATGCATTAAATATAATCCTACATGAAATATTATGATAGACTAAAATTGTATTGGAAAACTTAAAAGTTTTAAAGTATTATAAATGCTAGCTCACAATATGATATTGATCTCATAAAATATATATATATATACAAGATTTTCATGGATTAAGAGCTCATATCATAACTGTTTTAATTCATATGATTTTTGCAGTAAGTTTTGGGTTTGGTATTCAAATTAATCAACGAAGAAATGGTCCCGCGGGAGTGGGTTTTTATGCAGGACCTGCTCCCGCGCTCGGGAGTGGGACTACAGTGTATGAAGTGAGGCGCGGGAGTGGGAATCCCGCAAAGCAAACTCGGGAGTGAGGTCCCGAACTGACTCCCGCATTAGCAAAAACATGTGTATGGCATACACTCTATGCAATGCGTTACTGTGAGTCTTCACTCACTCCCGCGTTATATAGTCATAGTCTGTCGCTAACATAGCACAGCACTGAATGTATGTGTGTTGTAGCCTGTAGTACAGGTCTGTACTCGGTATGTGCGGGAGTGGTGGAAGTGATGCGGGAGTCCAGACAAACCTTATGTGCGGGAGTGGGAGTCCCGCAAAGGATTTACTGAGGGAGTGTGCGGGAGTGGGAGTGAAGCCAATGCAGCATTTCGATGGTTAATTCAAATCACGACTTAATTAAGGCGTTCATGTGATCGCCATTTGATCCCTTAATATACATTGAATTTTGGCTAATAATGACATTTACAGCCAAATATGAAATGATTTCTGATCATATTACTTCTTACTATTAAAGTTGTAAGTCGTTAATAGTATCAAGTGGTCATATGTGCTAATGATCAGGGATAATCAAATTATCACATTTATGAATTATAAATCTTATACCTAGCTATTGTTAAGTGAACTCTAACCTCGGACAACATTTCAATACGTTTTTAACATAGATTTCTAAGGCACCAAAATTGAACTTTAGACTCGAGAACTTCAATAAAGAAGTTTAG